CCGGGGCATATAGTGTTACCCTGTTCCGTCATTCCGTCCTTCCATCCTTCCGTCCTTTCGTCATTCTGTCATTCCGTCATCATCAGTTTCCGTTCATTTTCTTAAGAATGGTTGCACACATTCAACTCAAATTTGACATATGGATATGTCATGAGAAAATACAGGTCCAGTTCGAATTTTGTCATGGTTGCATGATTTTTTGCAGAGTTATGCCCCTTTTACTTTGAAAATAATATGAAATTTTCAGTTTCCGTTCATTATCTCCCCAAAGGTACAACACATTCAACTCAAACTTTACATATGGATGCGTCAAAGGAATGCGCAGGTCAAGTTCAAATTTGGTCATGGTTCAATGATTTTTGGCAGAGTTATGCCCCTTTCACTTTGAAAGTAATATGAAATTTTCAGTTTCCATTTATTATCTCCCCAATGGTACAAGACATTCAACTCAAATTTGACATATGGATATGTTTTTGGAATGCCCAGGCCAAGTTCGAATTTGGTCATGGTTCAATGATTTTTGGCAGAGAAATGCCCCTTTCACTTTGAAAATAATATGAAATTCATTATCTACCCAACAGTGTTACATATTCAACTTAAATTTGACATATGGATATGTCAAAGGAATGGGCAGGTCAAGTTGGAATTTGGTCATGGTTTGATGATTTTTTGGCAGAGTTATGTCCCTTTCACTTTGAAAATAATATAGATACATCTTAGGAATAAGCAGTTTAAGTTTGAATTTGGTCGTGGTTCAATGATTTTAGACAAACTTATCTTTCCTGAATGTTGGAAAAATTATGAACTTTCAGTTTCAGCACTCATACTTTTAGCCATTATTTTGGCTACAAATATGCAATATGCTATTTTTAAAAGGTTAAGACTGAATAATTTCAGTGCCTTGAACATTGTATGAAAATGGTTTGTGTTAACATTGAATAGTTTTAAGGGCTTTTAACTTAAAATGAAAAAAATAATTAATGCACCATCTGAAATTTTGGCTGCATGTGGAGGCATCCGTGGCATGATGACACATTTCTAGTATTCTTTTCATAAAATAGTGCTTAGCAAAAGTGAGTAGTATAATTATAATTAACATTTGAATGCTTTACTTACATAACAAAAATGCTGGTTTATTTGATGTTCAAAAATGTTGAATTTGTTTTTATGTTGATCAGCTTTATATCCACCATGTTTCATTTGAATACTTCATAATCTCTTTAAAACCTATACAAATACCAAACTTGTCAACAAACTACCAAGTGCATGTCGAGGTTATATTTACTTTACTTTAAAAAGACCCCTCTGTATATAACACTAACATTTTCAGTCAGTGTTTTCAGCGGTATATATTTATTATGCCCCCGCCATATAATGGCTGGGGCATATAGTGTTACCCTGTTCCATCATTCCGTCCTTCTGTCCTTCCGTCATTCTGTCATTATCAGTTTCCGTTCATTATCTTAGTAACGGTTTCACACATTCAACTCAAATTTGGCATATGGATATGTCATGAGAAAATACAGGTCAATTTCGAATTTGGTCATGGTTCGATGATTTTTGGCAGAGTTATGCCCCTTTTACTTGGAAAATAATATGAAATTTTCAGTTTCCTTTCATTATCTCCCCAACATTATTACACATTCAACTCAAACTTGACATATGGATATGTCATGAGAAAATACAGGTCAAGTTCGAATTTGGTGATGGTTCGATGATTTTTGGCAGAGTTATGCCCCTTTTACTTTGAAAATGATATGAAATTTACAGTTTCCGTTCATTATCTCCTCAACGGTAATACACATTCAACTCAAAATTGAAATATGGATATGTCATGAGAAAATACAGGTCAAGTTCGAATTTGGTCATGGTTCGATGATTTTTGGCAGAGTTATGCCCCTTTTACTTTGAAAATGATATGAAATTTTCAGTTTCCATTCATTATCTCCCCAACAGTATTACACATTCTACTCAAACTTGACATATGGATATGTCAAAGGAATGCGCAGGTCAAGTTCGAATTTGGTCATGGTTCAATGATTTTCAACAGAGTTATGCCCCTTTCACTTTGAAAATAATATGAAATTTTCATTTTCGGTTAATTATCTCCCCAACAGTATTACACATTCAACTCAAATTTGACATATGGATACGTTAAAAAAATATGCAGGTGAACATGATTCAATGATTTTTCTGCAGAGTAATGCCCCTTTCACTTTGAAAATAATATGAAATTTTCAGTTTCTGTTCATTATCTCCCCAACAGTTGTACATATTCAACTCAAATTAAAGATATGGATATGTCATAAGAATGCATTAGTCTATTTCGAATTTGGTCATGGTTTGATGATAGCTAACAGAGTTATCCCTCTTGAACTTTGAAAAAAAAATCAGAAATTTTAAGTTTCCGTTCATTATCTTCCCAATGGTTGTACACATTCAACTCAAATCTGACATATAGATATATCTTAGGAATAAGTAGTTCAAATACAGTCAAACTTCGTTCGCTCGAACTCGGAGGGCCTGTGCAAATTTGTTCGAGAGATCGGTAGTTCGAGCCAACCAAGGTTGAACTATTATTACATAGAACATAGGCATAAAGGTTTTCCAGCTTACATCGGTCAAATGATAAATACGTCAATATAATTGTTTGTTAGTACATCATTTAAATACGTCATACTTATAATTATTACCCTTTTGAAAACAGTATTGACGGTACACACTGTAAATTCATGCATATTGTAATTGGTTGAGTTTGATTGGGCAATCATTATCTAAACTGTGAACAATGTTCAAAATATATTTATATGTTTATTATGGGATGAATTTTATTTTAAACAACAAATTAATAAAATATTTAAAAAAAAAACATTTTATAGCAGCATCTATTTGAAGTCATTTACTAAATTAAACACACATACAAGTATCATTCTATAAATAGATTGCACTGTTACAATTCACGATACATGAACCACGGTTGTAATTAAAGCCGTCCGGGTAAACGTAATTTATTTATTGTCTTTTGAGCATTTCAGGAGTTATTTTCTTTTTGTCGTAACTAAAGACAGCAAATATGCAATTATATCATAACAAACAAATCGGTTACAACACCATTTATTTTGTATCAATTAACCATAATTGCCTTTGTCACAATCAAGAGGTGTTAAAAACACGTGTCGCCGACTGTAAATTATTTAGAACATGCCGACCTGCAAACTTTGTTGTATGTTTGTGTTCGACCGAAAAGGTGTGATTTACACTATATTTCTGCTGAAGGGACCAGAGATCAGGTTCCAGAGTTTAAGCGATGGGTGTTCGAGCGATCCGAGGTAGAACAATATATATTATATAGGAATTTAACCGGGACTGGGCGATGAGTTCGAGCGAAGGGAGGTATTTGAGCGATCTTAGTTCAAGTGAACGAAGTTTAACTGTATGCAATATGCAATTTACAAAAGGTTAACACTAGGGATGTCATTCGGGTGTCCGGATATCCGAACGTTCGGATCACGATTCGGTGTCCGCAGCTGATTTTCGGATTGGAATGTTCGCAAAAAGTGTTTCAGAATATTGAGAAAATGTAATAAAAAAACATGCATTGAGATAATCAATCTCTTAGTTTGACACCATATTGTATATTGTACCTTAGTTTGACAATACACATCATAATCTCTTTAGACCACAAAAAATCAATAATTACTATAATAATTACATTAATTAATTATATTAAACACCAAACGAATTTAAATCTTGTAGGATTAAAGATGAATATTCTAAGTCTCGTGTGATTGTCATCGGCAACGATGTTACATTTCTAATGTCCAAATTTAAATATTTAATTAGGCTATTATTTTAAATATATATTTTGGGACTCCTTATTTTGAGAAAATGAAAAATCTGTAGAAATAAAATAATCAAATCAAGAAATGCACTTACGAATAATGAAATGTCAATTATCACAGCTTTTATTGAAATTGATACGATAATTATCCGACAAAATAACTTTCTCCTTTAGTATTAATCAAACATGTGCATTTTTTAGAACATTTTTTTTCAGAGATTTTTTTTCATATGCACACTTAAATGTATGTAATTCATGTAAGTTTCGGCAACTTCTTTAATGATTCGAATCAAACAGCCAGGACTACATGTTGGTAAACATCAAAGATTGGCAGATTCTTTTGCAAAGCCGGCTACACACCTGTCAAAGGTCATCGTGTGTAAATTGTATGTGTGTTATTGAACAATGGAAACATTATATTTATATTTTACTGGTGTTTATTTTGTTTTCACAAATAAAAGCGAGTGTTATTGTGTATCATAGCACTAATTGAGGAATTGAGACAATCGGCGATGAATTTCATTTTCATTTCATGTTAAATCGTAAGTGCCATATGCACTAAATTTATCGATAACAGTCATATTCTGTATAGAAATAATAAAGTTAATAACGAAAAATTTTTGACACGTAACATTCAATTAAAAAGGAAGTAAAACGAAATATTACACTTTGGAAAAGGTTGCGAAAATATGTTTACGTCATATCAGCAATAAGACTAAGAATATAACAACGATCCGAACATCTGGATGTTTCCGGATGTTTGATTCGGATATCCGGATTGCCGTTTGGCTCCAGATGACATCCCTAGTTAACACTGAATAGTTTCAGTGCCTTGAACTTTGTATAAAAATGGTTTGTGTTTACATTGAAAAGTTTAAGGGCTTTGAACTTAAAATGAAAAAAAAATCAGTTTGTGGAAAAAATTTGGAACTAAATATTATAACATCTGAAATTTTGCCTGCATGCGGGGGCATCCATGGCGTGACGACACATTTCTAGTTTTTTATTAACTATCCGACAGTAAGTGACTGAAGTGTATTACATTTATAAGTGCTCTTTTCTTATCATGAAACTGGGACCAAAAGTGTACATTTTTTGTCCCAGCAAGAAAGTAAAACAAATTTCTGTTATGTTAAAAGAACAATTTCCTTCTTTACAGTACAAAAAGAAACTAGCGGAGGCACAGGTTCAACTTGAACAAGTTCATCGTGAGGAGGAAGACATATTGTTGAAGAATTTCCAGATAGAGAGGGAAAAGGAGAAAAAGAAACTGTCAGACGAGATGAGTAAAGAATGGGAAGTGAGGCTAAAGGAACTGACAAACATGTTTGAAAGAGATATGTCAAAGAAAAAGAAGAAGATGGATGATAGAGATAAAAAGGTTAAGTTTTAAGATAAATTGTAAAATAACATGTTTTCAGAGCAAAGCGTAGAGTAAATATTTAGTATTACAGTAAAAGTAAAATGAGATACTCCTAGGACAGAATGTTTGTAGGACCAAACTAATGTGTAGTTGTGAAAAAAGTTAAAAGTAAGTCAAGAAAAAATGGAACTAAAAAGTAAGTCTGTCACTTTTTCTATACACACTTTGTTAGTCATAGGATAGAATAAGCTTAAGGGAGCGATGACCTTAGTGGTAAAGATGTCTGTCTCTCAACCCAGGGGTCATGGGATCGTGCTCTTCTCGGATCATGGCCAACACCATGTTTCTTGTATGTTACTAATATAGAAATTCAGTTTCAGCGTTTGCTTTGGCCTATTGACACAAAACTTGGTGTGTTTGTAGCTTAAATCAAGACACTACCTTGTCAATTCCTAATTCTGTAACTTCTGAAATTCGGAAAATCCGAACATTTTTCAGGGTACCATTAATTCTCTCCTTCTGTTTTCTATGTAATCAATACCTCTGAATTATGGAACTTCTAAATTCTGAATTCTGAACGTTTTTCTTGTAAAATTTGGTTTATATCAATTCAAATTTACTTCCAAAATCTTGACATTGAAAAAATGTGTGAAGGAATATTATTCTTGAGATTGAGAAACCTTCAAAATGTTAGTATCTTCCAATTAGCAGTAACCATTTAAGAATCACAACCTGTCAAGCATATCAAACACTTGATTAAAGTGTGAAAATTAAGAAACTCAGAAAAGTATAATGTGATGAAAAACAAAGATTACAGGTTTGTAGCTGGTACTACAGGATAAATTGTGAGAATTTACATTATGCTACATTGTATAAACAAAATCAGTTGTAGGTGATAATGAAATTTAATATAGTTTTAAACTTTTTGAAAAGCCCTATAATTTTGGGATTTTATTAATTTAAACAGCTTCATGCTTCATAATTATATTTTCATCAAACTCAAACAATTTAATGTTTAATAAAACAGTTTTTAATTGATCTGATAATTCCGAACTTCTGAATTCCGGAAACTTCCAAATTCCGAACTTTTTGGCTAGTCCCACAGGTGTTCGATTTTCAGAAGTCACACTGTACTTGAAAATGCTACCCATGCATCTGTGATCAAGGTCAAGGTCACTGTTACGAAAAATAGAAATTCAGTTTCTGCTCAATAACTTGAGTTTGCACCAAAACTTGGTGTATGGGTAGCTAAAATATATCAAGACTGGGATAACTATCCAGGTGACTATGATTAAGGCCAAGGTCACTTTATTGCTAAATTTAGAAATTCAGTTTCTGCTCAATAGTTGTGACCTATTGATAGCAAATTTGATGTGTCAGCAGGGTAGCTTATATCAGGACGCACCCAGATGTCTGTGATCAAGGTCAATGTTGCTAAAAGTAGTCTCTGCATAATAACTTGAGTTGGCTTAGACCTATTGATGCCAAATTTAGTATGTGGGTAGTTTATATCAAGACACAACTTGAGATTGCTACCCTGGTGTTTATGAACAAGGTCAAGGTCACTGTAACTAAAAATAGAAATTCAGTTTCTGCTTAATAACTTGAGTTTGCTTTGGCCTATTGACACCAAACTAGGTGTGTGGGTAGCTTATATCAAGAGGCAGCATTCAGTTTCAGTTCAATAACTTGAGTTTGCTTAGGCCTATTGACACCAAAACTTGGTGTATGGGTAGTTTGGGGCTGGGGTTCTTCGGGGTGGGTAAGGGAGGATACGTCTGTCTGTTAAATGGTAATATTTACTCATCTTCGGTATTTATTTAAAAATCCTATTGTTATTATAAACACAACTCAGAAAGTTCATTTTTGTGTCGCCTCTACGGAGTAGTGGCGACATATAGGGATCACTTCTCCGTCGTCTGTCTGTCCGTCTGTCTGTCTGTCTGTCTGTCTGTCCGTGCGTCCGTCACAAAACTTGTCCGGACTACTCCTCATAAACTACTGGTGCAATTTCATCCAAACTTTACAGGAATGATCAGTACCAAGTCTAGTTGTGCATATTGTCAGCATTTTCCGGTTCAATGATTTTTGTCGGAGTTATGGCCCTTTAATAATTTTTAATTTTAAAGTTTGTCCGGACTACTTCTCTTATACCACTAATGCAATTTCAATGAAACTTTACAGGATTGATCTGTAGCTCAAGTCCTTGCGCATATTGCAAGGGTTTTCCGGTTGAATGATTTTTGGCCGAGTTATGGCCCTTTGATAAAAAGGTTTCTTTTTCTGTGTGTTGCCAGATACACAAAAGCTTGTCCGGACTACTCCTCATAAACTACAGGTGCAATTTCATCCAAACTTTACAGGAATGATCAGTACCAAGTCTAGTTGTGCATATTGTCAGCATTTTTCCGGTTCAATGATTTTTGTTTGAGTTATGGCCCTTTGATAATTTTTATTTTTAAAGTTTGTCCGGACTACTTCTCTTATACCACTAATGCAATTTCAATGAAACTTTACAGGATTGATCTGTAGCTCAAGTCCTTGAGCATATTGCACGGGTTTTTCGGTTGAATGATTTTTGGCTGAGTTATGGCCCTTTGATAAAAAGGTGTTTTTTTTCTGTCTGTTGCCAGATACGCAAAAGCTTGTCCGGACTATTCCTCATAAACTACTGGTGCAATTTTATCCAAACTTTACAGGAATGATCAGTACCAAGTCTAGTTGTGCACTGTCCGTCTGTCTGTCTGTCTGTCACAAAATTTGTCCCAACATGAAATTGGCCATCATGAGGCGACACATGTGATTACTGATCGCTCTTGTTCTGTTTTTGTGCCCCCACTTTAGTGGCCAGCATTTAGATTTACCCTTGTCCGTCCTTCCTTCCGTCTGTCCGTCTGTTCACTTTTGTGTCGCACGTAACTCAAAAAATAATTGACCTAGAGTCATGAAACTTTACAGGAATGTTGATCAGCATGTGTAGTTGTGCACCTGGGTATTTTCGTCTGGATATTTTTAGTATTTTTAGAGTTATTGCCCTTGACTTAGTAAAATTTTGCAATTTTCAACTTGTGTCGCATGTAACTCAAAAAGTATTTGACCAAGAGTCATGAAACTTTACAGGAATGTTGATCAGCATGTGTAGTTGTGCACCTGGGTATTTTCATTTGGATAATTTAAGTATTTTTAGAGTTATTGCCCTTGACTTAGTAAAATTTTGCAATTTTCAACTTGTGTCGTATGTAACTCAAAAAGTATTTGACCTTCAGTCATGAAACTTTGCAGGAATGTTGATCAGCATGTGTAGTTGTGCACCTGGGTATTTTCGTGTGGATTTATTTAGTATTTTTAGAGTTATTGCCCTTAACTTAGTAAAATTTTGCAATTTTCAACTTGTGTCGTATGTAACTCAAAAAGTATTTGACCTTCAGTCATGAAACTTTGCAGGAATGTTGATCAGCATGTGTAGTTGTGCACCTGGGTATTTTCGTGTGGATTTATTTAGTATTTTTAGAGTTATTGCCCTTAACTTAGTAAAATTTTGCAATTTTCAACTTGTGTCGCATGTAACTCAAAAAGTATTTGACATAGAGTCATGAAACTTCACAGGAATATTGATCAGCATGTGCAGTTGTGCACCGGGTATTTTCGTCTGGTTTTATTTAGTATTTTTAGAGTTATTGCCCTTGACTTAGAAATTTTTTGCAATTTTCAACTTGTGTCGCATGTAACTCAAAAAGGATTTGACATACAGTCATTAAACCTTATGGGAAGGTTGCTCAGCATATTTAGATTTGCACCTGGGGTTTCGCTTGTGGATTTATCCAGTATTTGTAGAGTTATTTCCCTTGACTTAGTAAAAACCGTTTCATTATGTTGTTATTATCCCCCGCCCATAGAATCGGGAGGGGGATATAGTTTGGGCGTTGTCCGTCCGTCCGTCCATCCGTCCGTCCGAATTTCGTTTCCGGAGTAGTTCTCTGCAACTACTGGCTGGAATTCAACGAAACTTTATGGGAATCATCAATATCAAGAGGAGATGCGCATATCGTCAGCTTGTTGAGGTCAGACCCTTTAACTCAGAGTTATGGCCCTTGCTTAGTTATGTAGTATGCATATAGAGTAAAAATCGTTTCCGGAGTAATTCTCTGGAACTACTGGCTGGAATTCAACGAAACTTTATGGGAATAATCAATACCAAGGGGAGATGCGCATATCGTCGGCTTGTTCCGGTCAGACACTTTAACTCAGAGTTATGGCCCTTGATTAGTTATGAAGTATGCATATAGAGTAAAAATCTTTTCCGCGCTACTTCTCTGCAACTACTGGCTGGAATTCAACGAAACTTTATGGGAACCTTCAATACCAAGAGGAGATGCGCATATCGTCGGCTTGTTCCGGTCAGACACTTTAACTCAGAGTTATGGCCCTTGATTAGTTATGCAATATGCATATGGAGTAAAAATCGTTTCCGGTGTAGTTCTCTGCAACTACTGGCTGGAATTCAACGAAACTTTATGGGAACCTTCAATACCAAGAGGAGATGCGCATATCGTCGGCTTGTTCCGGTCAGACACTTTAACTCAGAGTTATGGCCCTTGATTAGTTATGTAGTATGCATATAAAGTAAAAATCGTTTCTGCACTACTTCTCTGCAACTACTGGCTGGAATTCAACGAAACTTTATGGGAACCTTCAATACCAAGAGGAGATGCGCATATCGTCGGCTTGTCCCGGTCAGACACTTTAACTCAGAGTTATGGCCCTTGATTAGTTATGAAGTATGCATATAGAGTAAAAATCGTTTCCTCGCTACTTCTCTGCTACTACTGGCTGGAATTCAATGAAACTTTATGGGATACTAAGAGGAGATATGCATATAGTCGCCTTGTTCCAGTCAGATACTTATAACTCTGATTTATGGCCCTTGATTAGTTATGTAGTATGCATACATCTCATTGGCATTTCCAGATTTTACTATTTAACACAAAGTTATGGTCCTGTTATTGCCCTGAATATTT